TCTACACAGAACAACATCTTTATGACAAACCCACACTTAATCAATTTAACCATATGTTTACCTACAAAGAAAAACATCTTCATTAAGTTCCAGTGCAAGTTAGCCAACATTTCATCAATGTCATACATGATAGTCTTGCACATCAATTCACAATCAAATATAACAATATGTGCCTATAATTAGATAGAAGATTTATTAGCAAAGCACATGTTAGATGGAAACTGTGTGATGACTTACTGGTGGTGAGGTTTATATGTCCTGCAGTGATGCGGTCGCTTACTGCTTGTTTCATAGCCATAAATTCCGGGGTCCCGTGGAATTTAAAATACTCTTCTATCGCCGAATCGTTATTGAGAACACTGGTCGAGTACTCGTCACAATTCGCAAAGAATCGTAACATAATGTTATCTATGGTAGGTTGGGTGCTATTACTTAAGTCATCTGTCATCTTCCGCCCTGTGACTCCCTGCTCAAAATATTTGGAACTGTCCTGTGTCCTCTTCTTGTATGTAGCGTAGTATCGGATGCAGTCCGAAGCTGGTTGTAGGAGCGACTGGAAGCGGGAAAGGAACCGTTTGCCTAGTGTGTATTGTTCCCGTTTGCCGCGGGAGGTGAGCTGGGCGTTCAGGTCCATTGGGAATTGGTTGCTCCATGTGTTTATGAAGGAACTTTGCGAAGCCAGATGTGAGCTCCGCAGTTTAGGCACCAGAGAAAGCATAGACGCACTAACATCTGACGACGGGTATCGGGCGCCATGCCGCAACAGCGCGTCCACATAAATGGCCGTACACGTTTTTCCGTTATGGGTGATGTTCATACCAGAGTTAACAGCGATAGCTTCGTTGGCATTTCGCTCCCAGAAATACGGTGTTTTTGTAGCAAATATCGGTTGTCCATAGAAAGTAGATTCTCCTGGTATACTGCTTATCAACGAAACACAAATCATCAGCAGGAAAATCTGAAGAAACGAAGGAGCCATATTGCTAGCGATGTGCCCACAATGTATAATTGCTGAAATCGCACCGATTAGCACCTTGTGTCACGTGTGATACGTAGGCGAATGGCACATTTACCATGTTGTGTCGGAACAAAGTTTACATTGAGACTTAAAGATCACGGAGTGGTAAGGTCGCCGATAACGCCTAATGCATGTGAAAGAAAGTTTCCCTAGAGCATAGCAAAGTTAAACTAATATGGGTTGAATTTGAACTTGTAATCATAAATAAAATTGTATTACGGTGTACATATTCAGTGGGACGTTACACACAAATGGATAACGGATAAAAATATGGTCATACATTTTACATCGTTTCAACAGGCGACAGAAATATTGACATACTCAATACACGACCTATCCTACACCTCAGCAGGATCCTTACTATATATAGTTTTGATAATTTGATAAAAGGCCCGACTATATTTGATCTCGATGTACACTCCTGTAGATGTGTTTAAGTATGACACTAAGATCATCCAAAACACATACGTCAGTCCAATTCTGCAGTGCCCACCATAATCTTATACTTATAACAATTCCCTACTCTGTCTACAAGCATGGGTGTTATAAAAAAAAATGTATGTACAAAAATATTAATCATAATAAAATGTATACAGCATTTGATATAGCGCCCTATCTAGATAGAATAAGCCACTCTAAAGCGCTTTACAGTACATAGATATGCAATTAGCATAAACATTAATCAATACAATTTTGAGGAATACGCTGGAGATGCCTTTAAGACGTAACTACAAGTCCTATGCAACCCGGCTAATATTTCCCTATAGGTGTTGCCTGCGCGTGTGCTGGAGATGTATTGTGTTCTATTTGTAGTGGGACCGTGTTTCCAACGGCATCATTTATAGTGCCACCTCACCTGATGCTACAGCACAGATACCGCAACATCCACCCCAGACCATCGTATACTCCACCTGGGTTGTTGGAGTTGTGTGGGCAGGAGAAAAACACTTTCTCTGAAAATCCAGCCGCCTGCGTGGAAGGCCGGAGTGTTTACCACTCGACCAATCCGTCCAGTAGAGATACGAAATATACTGCCTTGATAATACACCCTCGAAATAGCAATCTGGACAGATTTAACCAAATACTTTCTACTTTTACTACTCAGCCAGTAAACAAATATATACCTGTTACAGTTGTCATTGTTCTGTACGTCCAAATGATAAGCCATGAATAATGGCATAAGACTAGAACGAAGGAAAGGATTAGGCTCCATAAACAAAATCAACTAATAGCTAATACTTCTAAACACCTTCTTCAGTTTGGTAAGTATTAATCATGAAAAGTTCGTTTTTTCACAACCAATAAAATTGTATATGTGACGTTTCAATGACTAGTACAATGTGTGCACTGTCACCTTCATCAGACATTTACCAGTGAAGCGTATGCACACAAAGGTGTACGAAATCGATGTCGATTTCGGCTACGCTGTAAGCGTATGTACTATAGTTGTTATATATGTACCGAAATGACTCGATCCAGCTACGCATTTTGTGATACTTGGTCATAGATGTGCGAGAGTCTTTGAGCCCCCTCGTCTCGATTTAGAACTGGTCCACTGCGGCGTATCCAGATGGCTTCCTTTATCTGCCGCTGGAACAGATTGCTCTCTCTCTGTCCAAAACTTTGGAGTTATCCCAGTCCATCACATGATTTTTATGTGTGGCATGGTTTGTGATTGCCGATTTATTTACGTGGGACACCGACTGCTTCTTTTCTGATCTGGTGAATTTCCTACCACATAACCCAACAGGTGACACATCCTCACTGAGCTTTGGCTGACAGACCTGTGGACTGTACTTACCCGAGTATCCTTCCACCCTTCTATTACAACTCTGATATTTAAGGACTGGTTGGAGGTTTGCCTGGCAGACCTGTAGACTGTACTTACCTGAGTATCCTTCCACCCTTCTATTACAACACTGATATTTAAGGACTGGTTGGAGGTTTGGCTGACAGACCTATAGACTGTACTTACCTGAGTATCCTTCCATCCTTCTACTACAACTCTGATATTTAAGGACACGTTGGAGGTTTGGCTGACAGACCTGTAGACTGTACTTACCTGAGTATCCGTCCACCCTTCTACTTCAACTCTGATATTTAAGGACTGGTTGGAGGTTTGGCAAGCAGACATGTAGACTGTACTTATCTGAGTATCCTTCCACCCTTCTACTACAACTCTGATATTTAAGGACTGGTTGGAGGTTTGGCTGACAGACCTGTAGACTGTAGTTACCTGAGTATCCTTCCACCCTTCTACTACAACTCTGATATTTAAGGACTGGTTGGAGGTTTGGCTGACAGACCTAAGGACTGTACTTACCTGAGTATCCTTCCACACTTCTATTACAACGTTAACTCTGATATTTAAGGACTGGTTGGAGGTTTGACTGACAGACCTGTAGACTGTACTTACCTAAGTGTCCTTCCACCCTTCTACTACAACTCTGATATTTAACGACTGGTTGGAGGTTTGGCTGGCAGACCTGTAGACTGTACTTACCCGAGTATCCATCCACCCTTGTACTACAACTCTGATATTTAAGGACTAGTTGGAGGTTTGACAGGCAGACCTGTAGACTGTACTTACCCGAGTATCCCTCCACCCTTCTACTACAACTCTGATATTTAAGGACTGGTTGGAGGTTTGGCTGACAGACCTGCGGACTGTACTTACCCGAGTATCCTTCCCCCCTTCTACTACAACTCTGATATTTAAGGACTGGTCGGAGGTTTGGCTGACAGACCTGTAGACTGTACTTACCTGAGTATCCTTCAACACTTCTATTACAACTGTGATATTTAAGGACTGGTTAAAAGTTTGGCTGGCAGACCTGTGGACTGTACTTACCCGAGTATCCTTCCACCCTTCTATTACAACTGTGATATTTAAGGACTGGTCGGAGGTTTGGCTGGCAGACCTGTCGACTGTACTTACCTAAGTATCCTTCCACCCTTCTATTACAGTTGTGATATTTTAGGACTGGTTTGAGGTTTGGCTGGCATAACTGTGGACTGTACTTACCTAAGTATCCTTCCATTTTTGTATTACGACTGATATTTAAGGACTGATAAGAGGTTTGGCTGACAGACCTGGGGACTGTTCTTACCTGAGTATCCTTCCACCCTTCTATTACAACACTGATATTTCAGGACTAGTTGGAGGTTTGGCTGGCAGACCTGTCGACTGTACTTACCTGAGTATCCTTCCACACTTCTATTACAACACTGATATTTTAGGACTGGTTGGAGGTTTGGCTGGCATAACTGTCGACTGTACTTACCTGAGTCTCTTTTAACCCTTCTACTACAACTCTGATATTTCAGGACTGGTTGGAGGTTTGGCTGACAGACTTGTAGACTGTACTGATCTGAGTATCCTTCCATTCTTGTATTACAACGTTAACTCTGATATTTAAGTACTGGTTAAAGGTTTGGCTGGCATAACTGTGGACTGTACTAACCTAAGTATCCTTCCATTCTTCTAATACTACGTTAACTCTGATGTTTAAGGATTGGTTAGAGATTTGGCTGACAGACTTGTCGACGGTACTTACAATACTCCTTCCATTCTTGTATTACAACGTTAACTCTGATATTTAAGGACTGGTTAAAGGTTTGGCTTGCAGACCTGTAGACTGTACTTACCTAAGTATCCCTCCACCCTTCTATTACAACTCTGATATTTAAGGACTGGTTGGAGGTTTGGCTGACAGACCTGTCGACTGTACTTACCCGAGTATCCTCCCACCCTTGTATTACAACTCTGATATATAAGGACTGGTTTGAGGTTTGGCTGGCAGACCTGTCGACTTTACTTACCTGTGTATCCTTCCACCCTTCTATTACAACTCTGATATTTAAGGACTGGTTTGAGGTTTGGCTGGCAGACCTGTCGACTGTACTTACCTGAGTATCCTTCCACCCTTGTATAACAACTCTGATATATAAGGACTGGTTAGAGGTTTGGCTGACAGACCTGTCGACTGTACTTACCTAAGTATCCTTCCACCCTTGTATTACAACGTTAACTCTGATATTTAAGGACTGGTTGGAGGTTTGGCTGGCAGACCTGTAGACTGTACTTACCCGAGTATCCCTCCACCCTTGTATTACAACTCTGATATTTAAGGACTGGTTAGAGGTTTGGCTGACTGACCTGTGGACTGTACTTACTTGAGTATCCTTCCACCCTTCTATTACAACTGTGATATTTAAGGACTGGTCAGAGGTTTGGCTGGCAAACCTGTGGACTGTACTTACCTGAGTATCCTTCCACCCTTGTATTACAACTCTGATATTTAAGGACTGGTTAGAGGTTTGGCTGGCAGACTTGTGGACTGTACTTACCTGAGTATCCTTCTATTCTTGTCTTACAACTCTGGAACATTCGTTTGTGTATTTAAGGACTGGTTTTACAATACGGTTCCATTATTTTATCGGCTAGTTCTCATATGGTACATTCCTTGTATCCTCGGTGATTCTGATTGAAGATATTCCTCCATTTTGTTTATTCACACAATAACTAGTTACAGATTTGGAAAGAATGTCCGCATTCTTTCATTTTCAGTTCTGCCAAATGTTTGGTCAATGTACTGATAACCTTCTGTTTGGTTAAAACTGTTTTGCCATTATCTCACGATTATTTATCCTTTCTTACAGTTTCATTTTTTGCATATCATTATTTTCCTCTCTGTTACATGTCCTTCTTCTAGATATTAGATTATTTTGCTCTTATTTTCTAACATGATGAAAACATCTTTTATTTGCTTTTCTCCTTTGTTTTCAATGTAAACAGGAAAGTAACATATTTTCTTCTCTGGATATTTCATTGTCGTAGTTAAAACATTTATCTTGATGGTTTTTGTAAATGGATATATTATATACAAATGATGTTCTAGGAACTCTTTGTAATTGTTTTTTATATACAAATTATGTATACATAAAAAAAGGATTAACTTCAATTTTGAGTTAACATCAGTGTCACACAAATGTTTCCCCAAATCTATATTGCGCGAAACCTTCTGTTAATATTATTATAGCAATCCTACTTTTTTCC